CAGTCATTTGAAAAAGTTTAGGACCACCCATACAAAAATGCTTTTAACTGAAGAAAAGCAAACATAAACCAATCAGTCAAATTTATTTTCAATGTGTAACCTTAGTATCTTGGTTAAACAGCTATTAGACTAAGGTACATTTCCATGATTTGAAATGTTAACAGTAATATTTATTGTGCCCTGACTTTATTTCTGATTACTCAGGCTGGCCTTTTTTTTTTACCAATGCTGCCTTACAGACAACGTGTCATATTAGACCTGCCTTTGCAAAAAATTCCATTTAAATGGGTATGTAGCACTACACTGATGTTATGGACCACTGTAAAAATCATGTTAAGTAATCAGTCAATGAGACAATGTAATGCAGGCCTAGCGACAGAAATACCAACAAAATTCCAGGTGGCCTTAAATTCTTGCAAATGACTGTAAAATATAGCAACACAATGGAACAATTATGCCTGGTCATGGCTCTTCTTTCCCGTTTGTATTTGGTCCTGCATTGTATCGAGCCTATACCCCTGAGGGTATCAGGTCATGATTAGGTCAGTAGCTAAGTGTTTGGTCGTCGATGTTGCAACGTCATACAGCGAGTTGGTACAGTGTTCTCACTCTTTCAAGACAAGGGTTTTGCGCCATCTTAATAAGTTCCATTGGGCTGTGACTCGAGACTCTAGACCTTTCACTTACGTGTCGTCTTCGCGATACTTAAAGTTATCTCTGTACCTCTGTAGTTGAGGTCTTTAATAATCATCAACTCCAGAATGCTGCTGGTAGGCCTACGCGCAGGAGTTTTCAAGACAGGTCACAGATGCCATTCATTCAACCTGGCACACACTGCTTTTCGTCCAAGTTAGAATGTTGGAGCCAACTTGGGTAAAGAACAGAGGTCACAGCCGCGCGATCGGGTGCATTGTCGTTAGCTACCGTATAATGAGACTGCCATTCCTGGTAAAATGCCCAGGCATTTCAGTTGAACGATTTTTGGCAATGAGGTCTCAATGTTTGGCATTGTCCTGCTCACTATGGACGCATACTCACAGGTTTTTTTGTACGCTCAGTGGACAGTATAGTATTGGTACTTGTACTCCCCTTTAGTGATTCCACTAAAAAGCTGACCATGAGACACACTCCCTACCATTTTCTAAATACAGCAATTTCAGTACAGACTTGGGTTGTCGGGCTTTAATTGGAGTTCGATGTTTTTTGTTTGTTGCTCAACGATGTCACGAAATTTCGAAAAACCAAATGGAAGAACGAAAAACAACAAGTAGCAAACTTTCGCCGAATTCCAACAAACCTGCACGAATTGGTGCAACAGCATGGGATCAATCTCACAACTTGCCTTTGATTTCTCAACTTATAGTCTCAAAACTTAATAAGGTATCTTGTACTAGCAGACAATCCTTCACCGTACAGTGCGGTAGGAGAAATCGTGCCGAGTTCGCTACTATCAAGTAAGCCAACGAGAGGTGTAAAGAAATCTGCGTAAATGCATGAGCACACGTATACCTGGGTTACGATAAAGAACGGCCACGCCATTTACACTCGATGCCGCGATCGTTTCCCGACCCAGGGGCCAAAAAGCATCATTCCGGAGGCTCGCCGGAACCGCACCGTTTCTTCCCCAAGATGTCGATCTGATCCTCGTGGTTCTCATTTCACCCTCCTCGAAGTCTAATTAAATCACCAGTACACTGGAGACAGTATGCAAAATTCACCCGTCACTCTCTTAACGTAGATTGTTGTCAGCTAGGGAGTCACGGGTGACTGCCTACCCACAGGGAGCATGTTCTTCGTGCGCAACGACTTCATGTTTTAGTAAAAGGGTTGTCTGTTTGGCCTTCGAATATTTCCTCCTAACTCCCATTCGATGCATGTGCATTACTTGATTCGTTCTCAGGGGTGACCCTGCGACAGTGACTTTGGACTAACATTGTTTTTCTCCATCATCCACTAGTACGAAGGTGGAACTTGGAGTCTGTTAATTCTCCAACATTAATCAACTTAATGACCGTCAATCTCTCTTATTACTACATGTACATATTGTGATTGAGCGCTCAGCTAGTCCATGCCCCGTTTTAAGCCTGCCCAATTTTTGTGATGGGCGCATTTATGCCTTTTCGGAATATCGAGTGGAACGTTTTCTGTGGGATTTTGGGTCAGTCAAACCACTGAACCACGTAGAATTCAGAGTCATTAATCTAACTTTGCACTATACAGGTGATTGTTGTCAGGAGCACTGAACTTATTTCCCGCTTAACTTTTACAGAGCAGAAAATTTTACAATTGCCTGCAATTTTCCCAGTGTGTAAAACTTATTAAATACGCGACGCATAGCCTTGTAAACATTGATAAAAAGGATTAGCCGTATTCCATGCAAGCAGCGCGTTGACATGATGGAGTATTGACCAAAGGTCAGAGGTTGGTAAATAAATCAGCTAACTTGGAAGCCAGTAACCAGGCACCAGCCGAACGTGCTGTGCGTCGAGCGTTTAAATGCCAAAAAATCATATGAAATGGTCTCTTTGATGACACCCAAAAGAACATATATGGGCTGATTCAGAAAGAAAAAGGTTTCACTCAGCACTCTCAGTTGAAGATTCTACGTCTAGCTAGGTCTCCTTCTGTCAACATTTCACTGGTTCTGAGGGTACAGAAAAATGCAGTGACATGCATTCTGCGAGCAATTCAGAAGTTTTGCGTAATTGTCTCGCGAACCATCGCGTCAGAATGGCCGAGCGGTCTAAGGCGCAGACTCAAGTAACTCCTTCGCTGATTGTGAATCCCTGTATTCTCAGGCTGGAGTCTCCATTTGGAGGCTTTAGGTTCAGATCGCACTTCTGAAAAGTGGACTTCTTTGGATTGTGATTTCATTTTCAGTCGGTAATAGCTTTATACTCATACAACCCAGAAAGTGCCGTTCACTAATAGTTTGTAAATATAATTATTTACGAGCTGTGACCGGTACTTTTTGACAATTTTATCGAAAAGGTTGTCTAAGAAGAACTTCAAATTACCTGCTATTAATCACAGCGGGCGTCAAGACGAATGTATCATTCTCCAAATAGTTTGCAACATGTACATTAATTGTATAGAGTTCAGTTCCTTGAACGCCCGTAACGTGTAAAAACGAGATATGACATAAATGATAGGTGTTAAGGTTTTGTTGAGCCTTACACCAAATCAACCGGAGGGTTTTTAGCAGAAAGAATAGCTTTGTCTTCCAATCACAGCAGGCAGTGGACAAGAGCTGCGATAGACTGGGCTGGTTGGACAATCTTGGCTTGCGCACAAATCGAGTGTAACGGTCTCGTTATAGTTTGGTCCTGCGTTTCCAGAAGATTTTTTTCATCTTTTTTCCTTACGAAGGTTTTTCTCTGTAATCCTTCACCTGTAGAAATTGCCAAAGTTGCTCTCATCAAACGACAAAGAGTCAGTTTCTTTGGTTCTACCATTGTCAATAAATATGATACACTCACCAGCAAACCACTGCACAGCCGTTGAGAATGAATAGGTGTGATTTCTCACATCTGAGGCGTCAGTTCCAAGCTCCGTATCACCAGCGTTTCCTGGAGATGTTTGTGCCGGCATACACTCAGCTAACAGAAGTCAATATAAAGCAACCTGTCGACACGTGTCGACTTTCGGCTAAACCATATAATGTCAACACTATAGAAGGCAGCTTACACTGCAAACTTCACTATGGAAGCGACAGATGACCTCCGAGTCAGCAACATCGGTCACTTTGTGTCCAAGGCTGTACTCAGTCAGTGTTTTTGACACAGCAAGCAGCTAGCTCATCATAAAAGGACGTCAAATCAGTACGTATTTCACTATTTAGCACACATTTAATATTGAATTTAAAGGTACAATTAACACCAGAACACCGGAAGCAGCCCAGACTTGAAAAAAACCATTCATCTGCCATGCCAGGGTTTACAAACAGCGGCCGGCTGATTATTACCTACATTTTCTAGGTTTCCATTCGAGAACTTTGGCACTTCACCAAGATATTGTAAAAACCATTAATCTCCTGCAGATAACATTTCAACTTCGACCACAATTACTCCCACCGCAAATAGTTCAACGTTCCAAAGACTAACACAGCGGACAAAGAGCCGCGATAACTTTTTATCTGCCTATCCTGACAACCATGTTTGATTCCTTTCAGTGGTGCCATATTACACCAGACTGTAATCTTCGGGACGCACCAGTTCAAACAAGATGTCCGAGTTTTTGTTGATAGTCTGAAATCAGGTCCCGGCCACATTGGATTC